AAAATGCAAGTGTTACTGTCGTTTAGTTGGAAATCGGCTTGGCGTGAAGAGCATCCACGACATCCGCGATTGTCGGTGCCGATTTTATCGGGTGCCAGGAACAACTGCCACCAATACTGCAGCAACAGTTGATATGAAGGTGGCTAAGTTCAAACTTTTCGGGAGTTAACGGCACGCGCCGTCCCATACTACGTCCCTCCTGCCGGAAATCAGTCATGACGCACGCACCTGGTAGCACTCCTCGCCAGTACAGACGAGACAACAGTCTACTCGCGCATAATTCTGGTAGAATAATTCATGACGCACGTTCCTTAGGCGTCTGGCGAGGTCCACGACTGTCATTTTCCCACGAGGCGAGCCTAGCAATTTTTGCGAGCCACTGAAGAAGTTCGCGCCAGCCGTCTTGAAAATTTCTCGCCGTGTGACGACAACGCCAGCAACAGGTTCAAATTAACTGAAATGAATGCCACCAACTTATGTGGCAAAAACTCATGACAGATACAGCTATTCGTTTCCGGGGGGAGGGCGGGGCACGACCAATCCAGGCCACCCAAAGGCAGGGATCGAATGGCTTAGAGGCACACATGCCATCGTCGTTGTAGGAGCTAATCATATCTAGCTCCTGGGCAACCGTTGTGCAGCCTCGGGCCCTCAAGCCATCTCTTCTTTTCCACCCCCCCACCCACCCATCTCTTCTTATCGGGCCGATAGCGGAAGCGACTAGCCTATGAAAGTGCTCTAAATACCAGATGTTATGAATAAGAATGGAACAACCGACTTAGTAGTGGGAATACAACATTGGAAAAAAAACCAATCAGCAAGTGACGAGCGAATTGGCTTAAATAGGGCATAGACGAGCTAGGGCGAGAACCTCGGGACGAGAGGTGGGTTGGTTGGGTGGCGAGGGTCTCGGAACGCGATTCGGGGAGGTTCAGGCCGACAATATAGGCCGAACATGCGAGTTTGAGGACTTGGGTGTATGCAATGTAGTTTAGCGCAGTAAGGAATTCTAATTCCTTATACGTGGTATACCACGCGGACATGCACGGTCCATATGCATAATATTTGTGTTATATGATTGATATGGAGATCCGACTAGTTTAATTTAGTCTGATACTGACCCCGGCTTCTAGGAATATGCCCTAAGCCCCTAGATTGAACACTTTGCTTGGTATGAGAATGACAAATAAGTTGAACACTAATTATGGATGAAATTTTAAGTGTGATAATCCTAAGTAGACGCATATTAGTCGAGGATGCGCATTAGCAAATAAAATCTTGAGTGTATGATTTATTTTAAGAATTATTATAGAAAATCTTATGTAACTTGAAAGTTCGATGAATATTTACTTCGGCTGAATTTTATTTATATATTATTATGTATATAATCATTATTGCTCTAAATCATGCATTATATGATTCTATTATAGGTCATTTTCAAAAATGCAAAATGCAACAAGAGTGTAATGTGCTGATGAAAGCACGCTAAGAGCTTCAACGATGTAAGCACTTTGTAAGTTACGTTCCATCTTGTTTAAGCTCTCCATAAAGAATGTCATTTGCCTGCATAGGGAGCGCAATATCGTACCCCTTTTTTGTACGTTCATGTTGGGTGAGCACTCTTCATTCCTATGTTGGTGGAAGGGACAACGTCGACGTGCTGGAAATCTGGTGATTTGCGTGGAAGCGTGTCGTTCATTGGTTGTCAGCTGGATTCACGTGATGAATATTTTCTTTCATTCTCGATAAACTCTCTGTTTGCGAATTCTGACCGTAGACTCGTCCTGGCACCTAAAATTGAGGGCTGGTTCAAGGTACGCCGACAGTCGAGAAATACTGACATTCGAATGTGGTACTAAAGGATGCTCGGCTTATTTGCGGTCTTCTGTGCGTTACAAAAGGCTACGATGCGGTTCAATGGCGCCTACGTTGTCAGCATAGAATATATTTTCGGAGAGAATGTTCAGATGATGATGCCAGAGATGTGGGTGTGCAAAAAAGGAAAATGTAGGGGCAGCAAGGACGTGTCAGCGATTGCATGTTCAGCGGTCACGGCGGGAAGGGGCAGATCGTCGTCCACCTATATGATTCGCGGCGGTCAGTGCTTGCAAGAACGGCGAGCGGAGAACGGGGCAAGATAGATTACTCAGTTAACTTGAAACTTGAATATTGTTTACCCTGTGAATTGTTTTTCATTTTTGCTTGATGGGCCTACCATGCCGTATGCATTCTGAAACCCTTTGTATAGAGCTTTTTGTGTACCTCTGTGGAGCAATTCTGGTGATCGGATTGGGACCAGAGATACAAACCATGAATTCACTCAGCCCCAGTGAACTTCGAACCCAAAGTATATTTGCCTCGTCTGCCCCTTTCCACGTTGGCGAAACGAAGTTCGGTCTTCATTGTCGGGACTTGGCGCCCTGATGAGGTGTATTGACGTGGCTCCCTCATGCTCCGCGCCGCGGTTCGTTCAACTCACAGCCGGGCAACTTCCGGGTCTTCCGCCACGCTGCAGTTCCGCTTTCGTCCTCTGCTCCGCCACGCGGTCCAAAACTTCCGAGGCAGAGCACCCCGGGCACCCGCAACCACCCTACCCTAGCGCACCCCCAACCATGCCTGCTGCGGCAGTGCCCCTTTCCACCTATTCCTAGACAGAACGGAAAGCCTGCAGTATTCCGCTGCATGTCCGCCATATTCACCGCATCCCGCCAACCGTCCTCGGGGATTGGCTGACGCCTCCGCCCACCTGTGCCGCGCGCTGCGCTTTTTCGCCAGCTTCAAGATCCTTTTGTGATGCTTCCAGCTGCCATTGGCAGCAAAATCGACGCGCGAAGCCAATGCCCCTCAAGTTTCGATCAACACTCTAGATTTCTTTCCCCCAACCCCCGCTTGCTCATTCCATTCTGCTCTGCCCCGCTCTCCTCTGCCAGCCAACCAACTGTGGCACTCAAAACCCCCCTCCCTCCCACACGCATGCATTTCTTCCGTAACCTGCGCTGCAATTCCTCCCCCCTCCCTCAGTTTGCCCCAACTACACTCCGTCCTCCCCGCCGCCCCTGTCTAAGTTCCTGGCACACCATCGCCCACCTCTGCCAAGATCTGTCCCACCTGCCTCCAGAGTGCACCCACTGTGGAGGCGAGTAACTCACGGAAGGTAGTAGTCACGTAGGGCCCACTACAATTTACCATGGAGGCTGCGCGCCCTCTCATCAACCGCCTGCCTCTACGGCATCTGAGCAAACCCCGCAAAACGACCTATTCCGACGACAATTGTAGCGTCGTACAAGCCTTCCCGTGGAGTCGTCTTTCGCGACACATTTTCGTGGAGGCCGCTCCTCACGAACGAATGGCTCCGACACCAGCTGCAGCTGCTCACGCAGCTCCCGACTTCTTCTCCGCTCGCACCCCGACTGCGCTTCCCGCGTCGCCCTCCGCATCGGCGACATCGTCGTTCGGTCGCATCGCGAGCCGTGCGTCGCTTTTTGCCGCCGCGCCCGCGGCCGACGCCCTCGACATGTCTCGTCTGTCCGTTTTGCTCGGCGCTGCCGACTGCTGCTGGCCGCTTCCTGTCGACTGCGACTACAGTGGCGCCAGCAGCGCAGTCGGCGCGAAAACGCAGGAGGGTAGCGGCTCGAACTTCGACGAGTCTGATATGTTCAGCGACCTACCCGCCGAACGCCTGTGCTTCGCGGAAAGACTATCTCAAGAGTCGAAGAAAGGCGGCTCCCGCGGAACGAAGAGGACCGCAGAAGACTTGGCGGAGCGGAGAGTGCGCGGCAAGTCGGAGAAGATGGGCGCAGACAACGGAGACGCCGCCGTACTCGACAGCGATGATTGTGCCGAATCGCTCCCTCTTTGGTCTGGCGCTACCTGCTGGGGGGAGTCCGAAGCTGCAGCGAAGCATCTGCGTGGCGCGTCTGATGGCCGATCGCCGTCGTCAAGCCTTCCGTGGTGGGTGCTCGAGGCGCTTGGGGAAGACGAGGAGGGGGAAGGGGAGGTTGACGGCGTCGCGCCAACGCCGGCTTCCCCCGCTGACTCCGCATGCTCCGCCGCTGCTGGTGGCGATTACTCGCGCGGCAGTAGTGTTGGCGGAGACCCGGCGGAGGTTGAAAGCTCACTCGCTGGCGAATCGGTTCGCGGCGGGGATCTTATCTGCGCGGAATACGCGCAGTCATTCCTCACCGTTGTTCCGCCGAGTGCTCTGAGCGGAGCTTGCGCCGGCGCCTGGGAAGAGCCGTTGGGCGCGGAAGACATCGGCGCGCTGCTGCAGGCGGAGCTTTGCGGAGATGCATTCACGGCGCGGAGTGTGGTGGGGGATGGGGAAGGGTCGGCGGACGCGGAGAAGACGTTGGATGCCTTGTGCGCGGATGATGTGCTCCGCGCGCACTGCTTTGCGGACGAGGCGGAGACTGGGGGGAAACTGGAGGGTGTGGAGGCGGAGGGGGAGATGCAGCAGTGGGAGCTGGGGGGATTGGGGATGTGGTGCTGGGAGGGGCGCTTGATGGCATGCTAGGGTTTCGGTGGAAACCACACGCTGTTTCTGTGACCATACACTTGCCCTCTGAAATGCGTACGAATGCGGCGTGCTGAAAGGTGGTGACTTGAAGGGGAGGGTTGCAAGAGTATCACCCGCTTTTTTCCGAAGGGCTTCGCATGTCTCGTGCTGCGCCTTCTGGCCTTGGGAGCTGTTGTAGCAGCTCCGTAACTTGTACCATATTGCTAACCGCTAACATATGTAAGAGCGAGTAGTTAGTCTAGCTGCCCTTGATGTGGTGCACTTGTTCTGTATAGTGCTAGTTTTGGACTTACTCTTTCACTCTAGACCCTAACGGCGTGTTCCTTCTAGCCTTGAAACAGACTTGCAACTTTCGCCTGAGAAGAGAATTCCAGAGCGTGAAAACAGTTTTGAAGTGCAAAACGTTAAACAATTCTATGCCGCATTGAACCACTTCGCGTCAGGCTAACTGGAGAGACGCGAGAGTCTGATAAGAGACTATTACGAGGCTCGCAGGAATACGCTCTAAATACATGTGAAAATAAAGATACAAGGCTCCGAAGTCAACCACGCACTAACCAAGGCACCCATAAAGGGTTATCGGCAAGGGCTATCAAGCAAGGCATGTACAGTAAGTCTGTCGCCCAAATTATCTTTTATCATTCGAACAATGGACCGCCAGTGCCATATTGGAGTGATGCCTCTTCTTCCTCCTCATCCCCATCACCTCCCTGTTTGCAGTCAAGGGGGGAAGGGGGGGGGGGGTACTTTATACAAGGTGACGTGTACTGCTGGGAACCCTAGGATGTGACAACGTGACACACCGACATGGATTGGCCGTCACTGTTGAGCGACGGTGGATGGCATGGCATGGAAGAGAAGCGAGTGGGGTTGCAGATATGGCATGGGTTAGCACTGGAGGTGACATGGTATGGCATGGTATGGTTAGGCATGGCATCGCATGGAAAGGGGTGGAATGGAGTGGAGAGGGGTGGAATGGAATGGAAAGGGGTGGAACGTGGATCACCTTGAGAAGCTTGTCGATGCGGTTGAGCCCTCTCTTGGCGTTCTCATTGGACGGATTGATGCTGACGTGGCAGGGTATGTGTGCAGGCAAAGGGTGACATGCGAAGACATCAGGCAGAAGGAGTATCGACATCGCATGCACATGCATGCGCTGTGCATACAAGCATACATGTGTTCATGTGGTTACACATGCATCTGCATGTGCATGCATGCAAGCGTTAAAACGTGTGTGCATGTATGCCACCATGCAGACAAGACAAGCACACACAGCAAGATTAGGTGGAGTGAGAAGAGATACAGGAGGAAGCGAGGTGGGTGGCGTGGCACGGAATGGTCACCCATTGGACAACAAGCATGGCAGTCCATGGTAACCGCATCTTAGCATGCCACGTCAGCATCACCTGAGCGCCGTCTGCAGGTGGTGCAGCGCGTCGGGCAGCCGGTTGGCCGCCATGTGGACGAACCCGAGCTTCACGTGGATCCAGTCAGAAGCGTCCACTGCCAGGTGGCGCTCCAAGCTGGGAGAAGCATGGGAAACAAGGAAGCAGGGAGGGGAGAAATAGAATCTTAGGGATACTCAAGACCATGCCAGCGCTCACTGCCAGTCAGCAGCGTCCGCTGCCAGGTGGCGCTCGAGATTGTCTGAGGCCTGAGACACAAAGAAGCAGAGAGAGGGGGACAAGGATGTGAGAGACAGATACTCAACACCATGCCAGTTGAGTTGGCTTTTGAGAATTCTCAACGCCCACTGCCACACAGCTTCACCACGGGTGTGAGAGGAACGGGTGTGAGAGGATGTAGTGTGACCGTCACCAAGCTTGGCCTCCTGCCAGTCTACTGTGGCACACTGCTAGTCTGCTGCACACTGCCAGTCTGCTGCGGCACACTGCCAGTCTGCTGCACCCTGCCAGTCTGTTGCACACTGCTAGTCTGCTGCACACTGCCAGTCTGCTGCACACCGCCAGTCTGCTGCACACTGCCAATCTGCAGCACACTGCCAGTCGCGGCACACTGCCAGTCTGCTGCACACTGCCAGTCTGCTGCACACTGCCAGTCTGCTGCACACTGCCAGTCTGCTGCACACTGCCAGTGTGTGGCACACAGATAAGTTCAGACTCACACGTCAACAGCCGCAGCGTGCCGGCCATCCATGCTGTGCGCGTCAGCCAATCCCGTGACAGCAGCGCCACAACGACTGTCCATCCGCAGAGCAGCCTCAAACACCTTGCGCGCCTGCAGAGGGGGAGGGGGCAAGGGCAGGGGACAGGAGCAGGTGGGAGGACAAGAATAAGGCACATCGCACCGACTGTCCATCCATCCGCAGAGCAGCCTCAAACACCTTACGCGCCTGCAATGGTTTGTGTGGGTGTATGGAGGGGTGGAGGGGAGATCAAAGGAGAGTTCTAAGGGGGCAGCAGCGAACCCCGAGGAGAGTTGCAAAAAGGAAGCGGCTTCTCCGTGACAGCAGCGCCACAGTGACTGCCCATCCTGAGTGCAGCCTCGAATACCTTGTGTGCCTGCAGCGGTGTGTGTGGGTGTGTAGAGGGGGGGGCGGGCGGTAAACGGGGGGTTCTTAGAAGCAGCACACAGGCTGGCCATCCTCAGTGCAGCTTCAAACACCTTGCGCACCTGCGGAGGGGGAGGGTTCAAGGGCAGGGGGAAAGAGCAGGAGGGGTCAAGTGCAGGGGGCAAGAGCAGGAGGGGTCAAGAGCAGGAGGCAAGAGCAGGAGGCAAGAGCAGGAGGCAAGAGCAGGAGGCAAGAGCAGGAGGCAAGAGCAGGAGGCAAGAGCACGGAGCAAGAGCAGGAGGCAAGAGCAGGAGGCAAGAGCAGGAGGCAAGAGCAGGAGGCAAGAGCAGGAGGCAAGAGCAGGAGGCAAGAGCAGGAGGCAAGAGCAGGAGGCAAGAGCAGGAGGCAAGAGCAGGAGGCAAGAGCAGGAGGCAAGAGCAGGAGGCAAGAGCAGGAGGCAAGAGCAGGAGGCAAGAGCAGGAGGCAAGAGCAGGAGGCAAGAGCAGGAGGCAAGAGCAGGAGGCAAGAGCAGGAGGCAAGAGCAGGAGGCAAGAGCAGGAGGCAAGAGCAGGAGGCAAGAGCAGGAGGCAAGAGCAGGAGGCAAGAGCAGGAGGCAAGAGCAGGAGGTAAGAGCAGGAGGCAAGAGCAGGAGGGAGGATGATTTGACGCAGAGCGCAGGGAATGGCCATCGTCGGTGCAGCTTCAAACACCTTGCGCACCCGCCGTGGGGAGGGAGGAGGGGAAAGGGGAGGTGGAGGGTGTTGGTCGCAGGTGAGTGGAGGTATTTTCTGTCGACTAGAAACACAACAGAGAAACATTTTGCAGACACCATGAGTAGTGAAAAAGAAGAGGGGGCTTTTAGGGGGTGGCACTACCTTGTCCCTGCTGTCCCCGTGCTGCAGATACACCTCCCCCAGAAGAGACAAAGCGCTGGCAGAGTTAGGGAACGCCTTGACTGCCTCTCGAGCTGCTGCTATGGCCTCCTTCAGCTTTGGAATGCGCAGGTAGGCTCGGACCAGACCTGGGAGGGTGGTTCGGAGCAACGGCAGGAACAGGAGTATGCGACAACAGAAAATGCCGTCATCATCCGAGGGTTGCTAGCTACCTGGTTTGGAAGGTGCCACCTGGTTTGGAAGGTGCTACCTGGTTTGGAAGGTGCCACCTGGTTTGGAAGGTGCTACCTGGTTTGGAAGGTGCTACCTGGTTTGGAAGGTGCTACCTGGTTTGGAAGGTGCCACCTGGTTTGGAAGGTGCTACCTGGTTTGGAAGGTGCTACCTGGTTTGGAAGGTACTACCTGGTTTGGAAGGTGAATTGCCCAAAAGAGGCATCACTTGGTCTCAAATTTAAACAAGCATAGTTAGAGGGTGAGTTCGGTGGAGATGGAAGAGGAAGAGGAAGAGGAAGAGGAAGAGGAAGAGGGGAACTGCACATGCCTCTCTCTCCTCCACCTTCTAACACCGCCTTGCAACACCACCTTCTAACACCACCTTGCAACACCACCTTCTAAGACCACCTCGTAACACCACCTTGTAACACCACCGTGTAACACCACCTTGTAACACCACCTTGTAACACCACCTTGTAACACCACCTTGTAACACCCGCAGCCGCAGGTCTTGCTTCTGTGTTTATGCTCTCCGGAAAAACACAGAGTCAATGGGCCACCCCTCGTTCTTGTCATAACACGCACATCAAGAAAGTACATGACCTGGCTTCTCTCTCGCACTACATTGGAACACCACCTTGCACCAATACCTTGGAACACCCGCAGGTCTTGCTTCTGAGTGTATGCTCTCCGAAAAATGGCTGCTGCTGCTGCCGCCACCGCTGCTGTCTCGGACCGATCGGCATGCAGCAGAATGGCGCCCTGGTGGGAGAAGGACAGCGGTTTTTCGCAACCAGAATGATAGAGGTTAGGGGGCGGGGGCTGAGACCTCAGTGGACTTTTGGGTCAACTAAAAAACGGGGCGGGGGCTGAGTTGGATGCTCCAGCGGGTGAGAATGGGGCGGGGGCTAAGTTCAGTGGGGCTAAGAAACTTAGTGCAAGGGTGCTCCAGTTGTTGCCACAGCTGCTGTCCTGAACCAGTTGGCTTACAGCAGAATGTCGGCCTGAAAGGGGGGAGAAGGAGAATAGAGGGCGGCTGCTCGTCCTGCCGCCATTACTGCTGCCTGTGTCTAGATGGCGCAACAAGACCCTCACCCATTGCACGTGTAAGGCACGTGATTGCTGAGACATGAAGAGCGCGGGCCGGGACTTGGAGGTGCACGGCCGGAGGACGGGACACACCTTGCTAGGAGAGCAGGGAAGTGATGGTCGCCGAGGATGGGTTGTGTCCTTTTTGAGAATTCTAAAAAAAACCCTGCAAACTCGAGGATGTGTTGTGTTATCTAGAATTCTAAAAAAAACAGGCAGCGTAGAGCTACATGTGTTCTGTTTTTTAGAATTATAAAAAACAGAACACATCGGGAGGATGAGACGCACCTTGGCTAGGAGAGCAGGGAAGTGGTGGTCGTCTAGTTGAAGGGCCTGAGGGAGAAGAAGGCAGGGAAGAAAGGTAAGGGGAGGAATCGGGAGGAAATGGAGAAAGCAAGAAGGAGGATAAGGGTTTAGGGTTTAGGGTTTAGGGTTTAGGGAAGAGGTGGTTGTCTAGTTGAAGGGCCTGAGGGGAATGAAAGGGGGGGGGGGGGCTTAGCGGATTACTTAAGCCAACCAAATCACCTGACCTCCGCACTCTTGTTATGTTTCTGAGAATTCTCAACAGGCTAACACACCCACCTTCTCAACATATGCCATAGCACTGCCTCACTCCCCCCCCGCTCATCCACAGAGCAGCAGCAACCACCCATGCCTCCGCCCTCCCTGCTGCTTCTGCAAACACTTCCCATGTCAACTTCATATCACAGCAACGCACTCACCTCGACAGAGTGCACCCTGTGGAGCAATGCTTGAGAATTCTGACTTTACTGTACTCACCTAGAGAGACTGCATCCACACACCTACGCTCACCCACCTTCTCAACACGCCAGCGCACTGCCCCTCTCCCCTTTGCTCATCCACAGTGCAGCAACCACCACCCATGCCTCCACCCGCCCCGCTCGTCTTGCCAGCACTTACCTTGTTAGCCTCTTATACCCAATACAAGCATACTCACCTTCTCAACATAAGCCATGGCACTCCCTCGCTCCCCTTTACTCATCCACAGCACAGCAGCCACCACCCATGCCTCCGCCCGCCCCGCCCCCACCCCCAGCATCTCCGCCGCTAGCCTCTTCAACTCCACCCCCCCCGCCCCTCCCCCTGCGCCCCCCAGATGCCCCGCCTCTACTTGCAGGTTGGGGGCGGGCAGGGCGGAGGAGGAGGAGGGGGAGCGGCGGGAGAGCAGCAGCAGGGCGTAGTCGTCCATGCAGCTGATGTTGAAAGGGTCTAGAGTGCGGGCCTGCGGTGGGAAAAGGAAAAGGGGTGGATGAGCGAGTCTATGAACCCAACTTCTTCTCCCCCACCCCCCCCCTGATCCTGGCTTCGCTCCCCCCCCAACCCCCCCCCCCTATCCCCTACGCCCCCCAGGTGGCCCCCCTCCACTTGCAGTTTGGGGATGTTGAAGGGGGGTACGAGACAATAACGAGAGCTACTAATAACGAGAGCACTGTATATCGAAAGCGCCGTATACCGAGAGCACCTAATAAAAAGAGCACAGAATAACGAGATCACATAATAAGGAAGAAGACCACCTTATAACGAGAGAACATAGTAACGAGAGCACCTTCTGGTAGTGAATCATGGCCTCTTCGTTGCGGCCCTGAGATGCCTCCACCTGGCGAAGACGGCAACGCATGGCATGATGATGATGATGGTGATGGTGATGGTGATGACAGCACACAGCATGGCATGGGAACGCATGCAATGGCATGCGATGGAATGCGACGGCATGGGATGGCATGGGATGTGAGAGCTTGACATGTGATCGGCTCATGGTCAAAGTACTTGGGCATACATTCAGGTAGCATCGCAATGGGTTCCATTCTATAGAATGATAACATTACTTGGTATGCGAAGGGAGTACACTGGGTACAATCGCATGGGTTTTATACAGCGTGGCCTAGGACAGCCTGAAAGTGATTGGCGGATAGACCCAGAGGAAGCTGAGTGGAAGGAACCCACCTGCCCCATGTGCAGGTGCAGGTGCACGTTGTTGGGGAATCGAGACACCAGCTGCTGATACTCGTCCAAGCTGGCTGGAGGGAGCGGGAATTGAAGGAGCAGAAGAATGAGGCGGTGAGGAGTGGGCGCCCACCTGCCCCTTGTGCAGGTGCAGGTTTTTGAGAAAACGAGACACCAGCTGCTGATACTCGTCCAAGCTGGCTGGAGGAGACAGGAAGAGGGAGGGGGAGAGCGAGCCACTATGGCAACTTTCTGAGCTGACGTGTCTCCTTTCTAGGAACCGTGCTGCTGATGTGTCTGCTTTTGAAATCTCTAACCTACATGACCGCTCTCACCTGCATTCTCATGCACTGGGCAGTGCACCTATGCGTCCTCTGCATACTTCTGTCACTCATGATCTCACTCATGAGTCATACCCCCACTCGCGTTTCTCACTCATACCCCCACTCATGCTCGTTGCCCCTTCTCTGCTCCCACCTGCGTTCTCATTCGCTGTGTGTGCGCCTGTGCCTCCCCTGCTCCCACCACATACTTCTGCAGCCACTCAAGCTCTCACTCATGCACATTCATGCACCATCGTACACTCATACATAGATGTCTGGAAATCCCCACCTGCATTCTCGTTGGCTGTGCGGTGCGCCTGGGCCTCCACATACTTCTGCAGCCACCTGCACGACTCGTGCACCTCCCCTGCCCCTGCCGCCTTGCCGCCCCCTCTGCTGCTGGGGGTGCTCGGAAGGGGCTGGGGGGGAGAGACGGCACGGGGAGGTGGGGAGAGTGCGGGGAGGGTGGGAAGAGTGTAGGGAGGTGGGGAGAGTGCGGGGAGGTGGGGGGAGTGCAGGGAGGGTGGGAAGAGTGCAGGGAGGTGGGGAGAGTGCAGGGAGGATGGGGAGAGTGCGGAGAGGGTGGGGAGAGTGCAGGGAGGGTGGGGGGAGTGCGGGGAGGGTGGGGAGAGTGCAGGGAGGGTGGGGGGAGAGGGTGGGGGGAGTGCGGGGAGGGTGGGGGGAGTGCGGGGAGGGTGGGGGGAGCGCGGGGAGGGTGGGCGGAGGTGGGAGATGGCATGAAGAAGGAGAATGTCGTTTTGCTGCCCCCCTGCCGCAAGGGGTGCTGGGAAGGGGCTGGAAAAAGGATGGCGGGTGGGGATGTTGGGCAGGGGGTGGCGTGGGATGGGATGGGATAAGACGAAACGGTTGGGGTGATGAAATGAAAGGAATTCCGATGGGATGTGAAGGCATCCACACTTGTCGCTGTTGAAGCTAATGCACCACCTCTCACCTCTTGCTGAGGCAGCAGGTCACTTTGGCAGATAGGCCCAGCTGGATTTTTTAGGCGCCTCAAAGTCGCTTTGGCAGGTCGGCCCAGCTGAGCCTTGACACTTGAGTGGAGCAACATCAAATGCACCATCTCTCACCTCTTGCTGGGGCAGCAGCGCGCAGGTCTCTTTGGCAGATAGCCCCAGCTGAGCCACAGCTGCCAGGGCCTCCATGGCGAACGGGCACTGCCTGGGGTGGTTGCGGAGGAGGAGGGGGAAGGGGGGGGGGGGGGGAGGGTAAGGGTACGGGGAGTGTGGTTTGGGGACAGCACCAGCTGAGCCACAGCTGCCAGGACCTGCATGGCGAAAGGGCACTCCCTGGGGGTGGTTGGGGAGGAGGGGAGGGGGCTCTGCTTGTCAAACTCTAAGAGGAGCCTCCAAGCCAAGTGTGCACTGTGCACTGCCAAGGTGGCGGTGAAGGTGGGTGTGGGGAAGGGGGGCGTCGGGTGGGAGGGAGTTCGTCTCAACCCCTTTCCGCCACCCCAAATCTCGTTGGAAAAAGAGGGTGTCTTCCCAATAGTGCCTCAGGTGTTGTCAGTCTTCCCATCGTTCCAAAGAGTCCGTAAACCTTGGGAATACCAGAGGCACGTGGGAACCTGAGGCGCAACTGAGAGTACCTGAGGCTCAACGGAGAGTACCTGAGGCTCAACGGAGAGTACCTGAGGCGCAACTGAGAGTACCTGAGGCGCAACTGAGAGTACCTGAGGCGCAAATGAGAGTACCTGAGGCGCAATTGAGAGTACCTGAGGCGCAACTGAGAGTACCTGAGGCGCAACTGAGAGTACCTGAGGCGCAACTGAGAGTACCTGAGGCGCAACTGAGAGTACCTGAGGCGCAACTGAGAGTACCTGAGGCACTCCTTGTATGCAGCCAGTGCAGCGCGGTCACGTTATCAGTTGCTGGAGTGGTAGAGGCGGGCCAACAGCAGTTTGAGGCACTAGAGGGCGCCTGAGGCAGTAGAGGGCGCCTGAGGCACTAAAAAACACCTGAGGCATTGATGCGCACCTGAGGCACTCCTTGTAAGCGGCCAGGGCAGCACGGTCGTAGCTGCTGGAGTGGTAGAGGCGGGCCAGCAGCAGGTTGAGGCGCAGCGAGCGCAGGCGGTGAGGCACGGCTTCCAGCTGGGGGTAGCAGGAGGCATGGGGGGAAGTGGGGGAGGAGGAGGGGTGAGGCAAGGGAGATTTGAGGCGCATTGGCCACAGGCTGAGGTGCAGCGAGAGCAGGTGATATGAGGGGAACAAGGAGGGGACATAGGGTTGGAGGGAGGCAACGAAACATATGCAACACAGGAAATACCGGGAATAGTGTTTGACCTGTTTGACCTGTGCCACGTAGCAGTCGTTTGGCCACTCGTAGACGAACCTATTTGCTTTGTTTGACCTGCTTGAATAGTTTGACCAAATTGAACTGATTCAATCGCTTGACTCGTCTTGACTTTCTGCGTACCTCTGTGAGTGCGGGCTTGACCTCCTTCAACGCCACGTAGCACTCCGCCACCCGCAGGCAGACAAACCTTTTTGCTTAATTGAGCCTGCTACAACAGATTGAATTGCTTGACTTGGTTGACTTTACGCACGCACCTCTGTGAGTGCAGGCTTGACCTCCTTCAACGCCACGTAGCACTCCGCCACCCTCAGACGAACCTGGTACGTCACGTATGAGGGGGATGGGTGGACAAGAGAGAGAGAGGATGAAGGAGGGGAGCGGGACTATGAGGAGGAAACGGCAAGAGAATGAACGGAAAATGGAGCGAGCAAGGGGAGGGGAGAAACAGAAACGATGATCTTGTGTCCCTCTCACCTCTGCCTTTCCCACGTCTGTATCCAGAGCCACTATGCTCATACCACCACCCACTCCACCAACCACACACCCCCCTCCTCCTCCACCCCCTACCCCCGCACACGCCGCCCCCGAAACCATTGGCAAACACCCCATGGCCATCCCCCCAGCTCCCAATCTCCCCCCTCCCCCACTCCCCCCTATCCCGCTTGCCCCTCCTGATTGCCCCACCCCCCCATACCGCCCCACTCCCCCAGTACCTCCCCCAGCTCCTCCTCCCCCTCCCCCTCCCACCCCTGCACTGTAGCTGCCTGACTGGATGGCATTCCCCAGGCCGGCGCTGGCTACAGTGGCAGGGCTGCCGGGTACGGTCCGAGTGCTGCCGCCCGCATGGCCGGCCACCTTGCAGAGCTGCTGCGCCTGGCGGTAGAGATTCTGGGAGCAAGGGGAGACAGGAGGGGAGCCAGCGAGGGGAGAGAGGAGGAGGGGAGCGAGCAAGGGGAGAGAGGAGGAGGGGAGGGAGCGAGGGGAGAGAGGAGGAGGGGAGGGAGCGAGGGGAGACAGGGGAGAGGAGGGGCTAAGGGGGAGTGGAGAGAGGAGAGATATGCAGAGCTCCTGCGCCTGACGGTAGAGATTCTGAGAGCAAGGGGAGAGGGGAGGAGAGGGGGAAGGGGAGAGGGGAGGAGAGGGGGAAGGGGAGAGGGGAGGAGAGGGGGAGAGGGGGAGGAGAGGGGAGGAGAGGGGGAAGGGGAGGGGGAGAGGGGAAGGGGAGGAGAGGGGAAGGGGAGAGGGGGAAGGGAGAGGGGGAAGGGGAGAGGGGAGGAGAGGGGGAAGGGGAGAGGGGAGGAGTGGGGGAAGGGGAGAGGGGAGGAGAGGGGAAGGGGAGAGGGGAGGAGAGAGGGGAGGGGAGAGGGGAGGGGAGAGGGGAGGAGAGAGGGGAGGGGAGAGGGGAGGAGAGAGGGGAGGGGAGAGGGGAGGAGAGGGGGGAGGGGAGAGGGGAGGAGAGAGGGGAGGGGAGGGGAGAGGGGAGGAGAGAGGGGAGGGGAGAGGGGAGGAGAGGGGGGAGGGGAGAGGGGAGGAGAGGGGGGAGGGGAGAGGGGAGGAGAGAGGGGAGGGGGGAGGGGAGGAGAGGGGGGAGGGGAGAGGGGAGGAGAGGGGGGAGGGGAGAGGAGAGGAGAGGGGGGAGGGGAGAGGGAAGGAGAGGGGGAAGGGGAGAGGAAGGGACCATGGGGAGGAGAACTGAGGAGCTGCTGCGCCTAGCGGTAGAGGGGAGAGAGGAGAGGCGAGGGGCAAGGGGGAAGGGGCAAAAGGTGAGGGGGGAGGCATCTGGTACCAGCGCACTATCAGCCTCCGCACACCTACGCACACCTACCAGCGCGGGCCAGTACTCCTGCCACCCGGAACGCGCGGCGTAGACCACCAGATTCTCCGCCCTTGGGAATGCCGCCAGCTCGCTGCCTGGTTCCATAAAGGGGATGATTGCCAACTGAGAGGAGTGAGGAGTGAGCGAGGAAGAAGGCACCTTCCTACCAGCCAGAGCTCGGCGGTACTCCTGTCTCCCAAAGAGCGCGTCGGCAAAGAGAGGGAAAGAGAGAGGGAGGGTGGGAGGAGCGAGGAGAGGGGAGGCTGGGAGCGAGACACCTACCAGCGCGCGGCGGTACTCCTGTCTTCCAAAGAGCGCGTCCGCGTAGAGCACCAGATTCTCCGCCCTCGAGATTGCCGACACCTCGCTGCCCGGCCCGGCTGCTGAGATCAGGAAGCTTCCCTGAAGGAGCAGGGGACCGAATTCAGGTGCACGGTGAATCGGAAATAAGGTCCGCGGCGGAGAATGGGGAAAGGGAGTGGAAAACGGGAAAGCTGAGAGGGCATGATATGATATGATATGATACCATATCATGATCCCTTTGTCAAGGCATGATACACACGCGTTCTGCCTCGTTCGACCCTAGAATGCGTTCCTATCCAGTGACGGTCACTGCATTCCGAGCTTTTTAGTGACACTGTGGCTACTATTGACCGTCGTAGCCACTCACGAGGATCTCAGCCGACTCGTACAGCCGCTGGTCGATTAAGTACGCCAGGTTCTCCCGCATCGCGTCCATGGCGACACGGGAATCTGGTGACCAGCGCGGCTCGAGCTCGCGTCTTCTAGATGGTAGCTTTCCCTAAAAAACAATGGGATGGGTGACAGCTGCTGCTGTGACAGCTGTTACAGCACGAGCAATGCCGCTGCCAGCGGGATTGCAAGCAAAGATTCAATTGACGAGAAGACTCTTTCCTGAGTGCGTGGCTGAATTCGTCGCCTGTACCTTGGGATTTGCAGAGGGGAAAGGGTTGGGGGTGGAGGTGGGCCAAGGGATTTGGTATTCGCGCAACGAAAGCGAGTCGTTTCGGTTCTGGATTCAAATATACCGATATTTACGAACTCTGCCTGCAGCACAAACAAGGTTGAAATACCCCTCTTCTCATTCCCGAACTGAACAGCATCCGGGTACACAAACAACGGTTCACAACGAGTACATCAGTTGCAGTTCAGATTTCATTTCGGGAGCTGGAGTGAGGAAACCGGGCCCAAAATGGTTCGTTCGGAGTGCAAAATTCGAGTGTAGACTTTCGGAAACCAAACCTGGCACAATCAAAACCGTCCCAATCTGTTCAACGCTTTTCGCAGGCACTCCCCCACTATCCACCAGCTCGCTTCTTTCCAGCCAAGCACCAACAAGGTGCCTTCGTTATTCGGTGCTATTTCGTATCCACAGGTGCCGCAGCGACGGCCCTTCCGACGTAGATTCAACCCACTCGCGTTCTTCGATTGCCTTCCCAGGTCTTTCCCTGCCAATCCTCTGTCCCGTTAGCGCTTTCTCTCGCCCGTCTCTGCCACCTGCTGCGCTAACAGGCGACAGTCAGCGGCTAACAGTTAGCGGCCAACGGTTAACGGTTAGCAGTCAACGGCTAGCAGTCAGCAGTCAGCAGCCGGCAGCCGTCACAGATGTACCGTCGACCTCGCCTTCCGCTCGATCAAGTCGCGATTGCCATGATGTAAGCCACTGGCGCGCAAGCCCCTTGTCACTACAGGGGGAGAATATAGATTCCAATATATTCTACTTTAGCAGGGCATTATATTCTCACGACCGCCTGTTCGGGTTCCATTACTAGAAGTATCCAGGGTGGGATTTTTTTCCGGGTCCCATGGAACTAGCTCGCTCACTCCCTAGCAGCAGGCACCACCTCTTCATTCCCTTCGCCTCCGCGGTCTCAAACCCCACTTGCCCATCCCTCTTCGCCCATCCCCCACTTTCACATCCCCCACTTTCACATCCCCCACTTTCACATCCCCCACTTTCACATCCCCCACTTTCACATCCCCCACTTTCCCATCCCCCACTTCCCATCCCCCACTTCCCATCCCCCACTTCCCATCCCCCACTTCCCATCCCCCACTTCCCATCCCCCACTTCCCATCCCCCACTTCCCCGCTGACCCTGTTTCCCAATATCCCTCCCCCAATCAACGGCCACCTATCCGCCTGTTCCTTCCCCTGCACCCCCCCCCTGTCCCTCCTCTCTCTGCCCCTTTCCCCCACCCCTTCCCCCTGTCCCTTCCCCCTACCCGTGCGTGCATGACAGCCCTGCCCCAGTGTGCACGCAGTCTGGGCGTTGCATCTGGCTACTTCCTCTTCAACCGGCCTCTGGACAGCTTGGACACATCTCAATCTATCTTTTTTCCTGTCCCATCCCCCTGTCCCTTCCCCCTGCCACTTCCTCCTGTCCCTTGCCCCTGTTCCTTCCCCCTGGCCCTTCCCCCTGTCCCTTCCCGCTATCTCTTCCCCCTGTCCCTCCCCGCTATCCCTCTCCCTGATCCCTGTCCCTTTCCCATGTCTGCAGGGTGGGCGTGGCATCTGGTTACTTTCTCTTCCAGCAGCCACTGGACGTATTTTACATCCTGATGCCCGTTCCCCCTATTCCTTCGCCCCATCCTTTGCCTGCAGTGTGGGCGTGGCATCTGGTTACTTCCTCTTCAAGCAGCCCCTGGACGAGTACTGGCGGACTGAAGGCAAAAAAGAGGAGGGAAATAAGAGTGGCGGAGGGGATAAACAGGGACAAGGTGCTGACGTGGCAGAAGGGTGACGAAAAGCGGCTGCAAAAGTGTACCATGATACGGCAATAAAGCGACAATGCTGCGTGGAAGGATAGGGTTGTGTGGAAGGTTAGGGAGCCGAAAGGGGGAGGGGGAGGGAAGGAATGTGGCATGACTCCACAGCAGTCTGCTGGGTCAGTCAGTCTCACCATTCGCATTATACAGGTCATCGACCCACCACATCCACAGCAGGGAGGGCGCCACATTCACCCTCCATAATTCAAGCAATCGACCAGCCAGTGCTGCTGGCGGCAAAGCAGTCTTCATTACATGAAAGACGTGTCAAACATATATTTAAATGTTACTATAGGCTAGATAGGTGCGTACTATTAGAGAGTACAACCCCTTAGACAAAATCACCCTGTATCTCACATGAAGTCCATCTTTTACTCTGAGATGGTATCATGCTAGTAGGTTAGGATCCTGCCCACCCGCGCTTCCCCCCTAGTCCTAGCCTTAGCAAGTGCCGCCCGTCGCTAGCTGCCTGTTCCTAGCTGACCGTCGTAGCCGCCAGCCGCTCGTCACCCGCTGCCCCCCGTCGCCCGTAGCCCGCTGGCCGCCCGTTGCCCGTAGCCCGCTGGCCCCCGTCGCCCGTAGCCCGCTGGCTGGCCGCCCGCCGCCCGTAGCCCGCTACCCCAGGTCGCCCATAGCCCGCTGGCCGCCCGTCGCATATTGCCGCTGGTCGCCTGTTGCAACTGGCCGCCCGTCGCCGCCAGTCCGCCTGTAGCCGCTGGCCGCCTATCGCCGATGGCTGCCCGTTGCCGCCAGCCCGACCGTCGACGCTGGCCGCCCGTCGCCGCTGGCCGCCCGTCGCCGCTGGTCGCTCGTCGCCGCCAGCTGCCAGCTGCCGCCAGCCGCCCGTCGCCGCTGGCTGCCCGCTGCCGCCAGCCACCCATAGCCGCTGGCCGCCCGTCGCCACCATCCGCCCATCCCTGCTGACTGCCCGCTGCCGCCAGCCACTGCCCGTCGCCGCTGGCCGCCTGCTGCCACCAGCCGCTGCCCGTCGCCGCTGGTGGCCAGCTGCCAGCCGCCAGCCGCCTGCCGCTGCTGGCCGCCCGTTGCCGCCAGCCCGCCCACCACCACTGGTTCGCTTGTAGCCGCCTGCCCGTCACCGCCGGACGTTCGTAGCCGCCAGCCGGCCTTGGCTTCCCCTCTGAACCGGCACTCTCGCCGGCAATCTCTACCGCACTTCACTGCTCTCCACCGCACTCCACCTCTCCATTGCTCTCCACCGCGCTCCACCGCTCCCCACCGCACTCCACCACCCTCCTCCCCTTGTCAGCGGCAGCCAGTTGCTGCAGTTGTGGTGATGGTAGACTCATTGCTCCGCCTAGACGCGGAGGGTCAGGCCATCGAGTTTGAGGCGTGGCTCGTCCACCTCTGCCACCAGCCGACCGGGCAGCGCCAGGACGGCCACTCCCTGGCCGTCCATGTCGACGGTAAGCTCCCTCACCCCGCCCCGCCTGCTGCCCTCCCTGACGACCCCACGTCTGCTGAGCGTGAGGCTTTTGTCACTGCTGAGCTTGCCTGCGCTGTCTGGGACTCGCGCAACGCTGTTGCTCAACTTGCCATTAGCCATCTGATCCTCCCCATGCTGTTCCTAACCTTGCACCCTTCCCACTGTCGCTGACCTTGCCACTCACCTCCGCCTACAGGAGACTAGCTACCGCGCCGCTAGCACTAAGGCACAACACACTGCCTTCCCGCCGCCGCTTTGTGCTACCCTTTACCTCATTGCCACGTGTCTTCTTGACCGCCTAGCCACTGCCCGCGACCACTTCCTTAGTCAGCACCCAGGTGACCTCACCCTCACTGCCTTTGTCACCCCCCTGTTCGCGATAGAGGCCCGCCAGCGCACTATCGCTCAGTCTAGCGGTACTGCGCCGGTCCCAATCTTCCAAGGCTGTGCTCCCTTCCAATGCACTTACTCTGATGTTTATGCCGCTATTGCTAAGTCAACCCCTGATGCTAAGACCACTGCCGCGGCCTCAGCGCAGTAGTGTTCGGGTAGGGGCCGCCGCCCCAAGGGGGGGCGTGGCAGAGGGAAGGGTGAAAGGGGTGATGGGGGTGGTGGGGGTGGTGGACGTGGGGCTTGGGATGGTGGTGCAGTCAAGTGGACTGCGGATGGTGACCCGGAGTAGCAGCCGCAGCAGCAGCCTCAGCAGCAGCCTCCACAGCAGCAGCCTCAGCAGCAGCCTCCACAGCAGCAGTCGTACCAGCAGCAGGAGCCGTCGTGGGGACCCCCGCCGTCGTGGTGGCCTGGTGGCGCTGGTGGTGGTCGTCGTGGTGGTGCCCCGCGCAGCTCGGTGTCAGGTGGCGGCTCTAGAGTGGCCACCTGCCAGTACCAAATTCAGAACGGCCCTCGTCGCGGCACCGTCTGCGACCATCCAGGTCACACCGCCGCCCGCTGGTACTGCCGCCTTGACGACCTCAACCATCTCCGCTTTGGTCCCACATCGAACCCTCCTGGCTGGTATGCCCTGGCTCGCCGCCGTGTGCTTGTTTTTGAGCTTGACATGGATCAGATTAGGACTGCTATGTATGTCATGTAAATTGATGACTCTAGTGTGACCGGATCTTATTACCCTGTGTTGCCTAGTGTTGGTGTGCCTCCCGTGTGTAGTCTAGGTTCACCTGCTGCGTCAGGCGTAGGACCTCTTGCTTAGTTTATCTTAGGCTCTACGCTAGTCCCCCTACCAGCTGTCGCTACTGCAGACGCTACTGCTTCGCTCTCTTTCACGCTCGACTCTGGAGCGTCTGCCTACTTCTTCCGCGACCACACTTCGCTCACGCCGCTTGCTGCCCCTGCTGCTGTAGCGCTTGCTGACCGCTCCTCAGGTTAGGTAGTCGCACGTAGCTCTACTGCCCTTCCCGGTCTAGCGATCCTCTTGGGCTTTCTTACAGGCTTGCACATCCCCTCGTCCTCCAGGAACCTGGTTGGTGTCGGCTGTCTTCAGGACCTTGGTGTCACCACTACGTTCCATGGACACGAGCTGTACGCCGTCCGTACCGAGGCCGCCACTGGTGCCCCTCTTACCACGTTCCCCCGGGACCCTGTGTCTGGCTTGTTCACGCTGGACATTGCGTCCCCCCTAGTCGTAGCATCTCCCTAGGTCACCGCGTCCTCTCAGATAGCTGCAGCGTGCTCGTGTCGTCCTCTCACCCAGACTTCA